AAGTTTTCTGGTGGAATTTTTTGGAAATTCTCGATATAGAATCATGTCATCAGCAAATAGTGATAGTTTGAGTTCTTCTTTACCTATTTGTATTCCCTTAAATTCTTTCTTTTGTTTAATTGCTCTGGCTAGAGTTTCAAGGATGATATTGAATAGAAGTGGTAAAAGAGGACATTCTTGTCTTGTTCCAGTTTTTAGCCGGAATGCTTTCAATTTTTCTCCATTTAGAATCAAGTTGAGATATTTTCCTACTATGCCTAGTTTTTCTAGTGTTCTGAACATAAAGTTGTGCTGTATTTTGTCAAATGCTTTTTCTGCATCTATTGAGATGATCATATGATTCTTGTTTGTAAGTCTATTAATATGATGAATTACATTTACTGATTTCCATATGTTGATCCAATCCTGCATCCTTGGGATGAATCCCACTTGATCATGGTGCACTATCTTTTTAATCTGTTTTTGTATGCAGTTCACCAGAATTTTATTGAGAATTTTTGCATCTATGTTCTTCAGGGATATTGGTCTGAAGTTTTCTTTCCTTGATGTGTCTTTGTTTGGTTTTGGTATCAAGGTGATGCTAGCCTCATAGGATGAGTTTAGAAGGGTTCCCTCCTTTTCTATTTCATGGAATACTTTGAGGAGTATTGGTGTTAATTCTTCTTTCAACGTCTTGTAGAACTCTGCTGAGAATCCCTCTGGTCCTGGGCTTTTCTTGGTTGGTAGGCTTTTGATGGTGTTTTCTTTTTCATTACTTGAAATTGATCTGTTTAAAGCATGTATGACCTCCTCAGTCATATGGGTAGGTCATATGTCTCTAGAAATGTATCAATATCTTTGATATTTACAATTTTATTAGAGTATAAATTTTCAAAATAGTTTCTAATTATCTTCTGTATTTCAGATGTGTCCGTTGTGATATTTCCTTATTCCTTTTGTATTTTAGTAATTTGAGTTTTCTCTCTTTTTCCTCTTTGTTAGCATGGCCAGGGGTTTATCTATTTTATTTAATTTTTCAAAGAACCAACTTTTATTTTTGTCAATTTTTTTCAATTGTTTCTTTTTTTTTCAATTTCATTAATTTCAGCTCTGATTTTAATTATTTCCTGTCTTCTGCTGCTTTTGGTGTTGATTTGTTCTTCTTTTTCTAGAGCTTTGAGATATAGTGTTAGGTCATTTATTTGTTGACTTTTTATTCTTTTAATGATTGCACTGAATGCAATAAACTTTCTTCTGATTACTGCCTTCATAGTGTCCCAGAGATTTTGATATGTGGTGTCAATGTTCTCATTTACCTCTAAGAATTTTTTTATTTCATCCTTGATTTCTTCTACTATCTATTCATCATTCAATTGTGTACTATTTAATCTCCATTTGTTACAGTAGCTTCTATTTTTTATTTTACCATTAATTTCTAATTTCATTCCATTGTGGTCTGATAGAATGCAGAGATTATCTCTGGGTTTTTTTTTTTTTTTTTTTGTATTTACCAAGAGTTTCTTTGTGGCATAACATGTAGTCTGTTTTAGAGAAGGAGCCATGTGCTGCTGAGAAGTATATTTGCTCATTGATGGATGAAATATTCTATACATGTCTGTTAAGTCTAAATTATTGATTGTATTATTTAGTTCTATAGTTTCCTTATTTAGTTTTTGTTTGGAAGATCTGTCCAGTAGTGAGAGAGGTGTGTTAAAGTCACCCAGTATTATTGTATTGTGGTCTATTTGACTCTTGAAATTCAGAAGGGCTTGTTTGATGTATGTAGATACTCCATTGTTTATATTTGTTATATCCTGATTATATATACTTCCCTTATTTATAATTGTTATGTCCTGCTTATATACACTTCCCTTATTTATAATTGTTATGTCTTGCTTATATATACTTCCCTTATTTATAATTGTTATGTCCTGCTTCTATATACTTAAGAAGTAAGGAATGTCCTTTTTTGTCTCTTCTAATTAACTTTGGTTGAAGTCTATCTGAGATGAGAATGGAAACCCCTGCTTATGTATGCAATCCATATGAGTGATAAGATTTTCCCCATCCTTTCACCTTCAGCCTGTGGATGTCTTCTTTGCCCATGAGGTGAGTCTCTTGGAGACAGCATATTGTTGGGTCTTGCTTCTTAATCCAATCTACCAATCTATGTCTTTTGATTGATGAGTTAAGGCTATTAACATTCAAGGTTATTATTGAGATATAATTTGTATTCCCTGTCATTTTTATTTATTTCTGCTTTTTGATTTGTCTTAGTTTCTCATTTGGTTGAATGTCCCTTTAGTGTAGATCCTCCCTTTGCTGGTTTTCACTTTTTTTTCTTTCACTTCATCCTCATGGAATATTTTGTAGAGAATGCTCCATATTATAGGCTTTCTAGTTGTGAATTCTTTTAATTTTTTTTATCATGGAATATTTTAATTTCATCTTCAAATCTGAAACTTAATTTTGCTGGATATAATATTCTTGGTTGGCATCCATTTTCTTTCAGAGCTTGAAATATATTATTCCAGGACCTCTTTGAGGGTCTGGGCTGAGTAATCAGTTGAGATCCGAATTGGTTTCCCCCAATATATAATTTGATTTTTTTCTCTCACATCCGATAAGATTTTATCTTTTTCTCTGTGTTAGTCATTGTCATTATAATGTGTCTTGGTGTGGGTCTGCTGTAATTTTGAACATTTGGGGTTCCGAAAGCCTCTTGTATTTGATTTTCCATTCCATTCTCTAGGCTTGGGAAATCTTCTCCTATTATATCATTGAAAAGATTGTGCATTTCTTTGGTTTATATCTCTGCTCTTTCATCTATTCTGATAACTCTTAAATTTGGTCTTTTCATGTTATCCCATAATTCTTGGATGTTTCATGTTCAACACTACTTTCAAGATTATATATTTTGTCTTCATTGTCTGAGGCTCTGTCTTCCAAGTAGTCTAATCTGTTGATGATGCTTTCTATTGAATTTATAATTTGGTTTACTGATTCCTTCATTTCGAGGATTTCTGCTTGTTTGTTTTTTTTTTCATGATCTCTAACTCTTTTTTGAAGTGGTCTTTCACTTCCTATATTTTTTCTTTGATTTCACTCCTTATACTATCTTTTACTTCACATATCAATTTAACTATACACAATCTAAACTCCTTCTTGGGCATTTCTTCTACTGTGTTATCAGTAGCTTCTGTTGTTGAAACATCTTGGTTTGTTTGAGGTGCTTTATTCCCTTGTTTTTTCATGTTCTTAGTGTGTTTTCCCATCTAAAAGTATGGCTCTGAGGCATGATAAATTCTACCCTGTAGACCTATAGTGTTCCTGAAGGTTTCCAGCACTTGGCCTTTACTGGTGAGACCAATATCAACCGCACCCAGTATACACAATGTATAGCCTTAAACTAAGGCAACTACTGCTTTCTTGCATTAAACCAAAATGATGAGTTCAATAATTATCTACAGTACAAACAGAATATATGTTAAAATGATTTACAATTTCAAATGGTAGATGAGAGAACTGAGGTAGTGTAGTATGCAATATTCACGAGAGAGGAAGAGAAAATCTAGAAGTAAAAATTCACAGGAAGAGTGAAAGAGGAGCTGACAGAGATTGGCTATTGGCTGGAGAAAAGTTGGAAAGAAAACAGACAAGAGAGAGGAAGAAGACAAAGAGAAAAAATTTAAGACATAAGAATATAACAAAAATGCAAAATCCCATTCATATATCATTGATGCATTAAAAAAAAATCCTGTTCCAAATATGGTAGAGAGATTAGTAAATCAAGAATAAAATAAAATAAATCTTTTTAAAAAAAAATCCTGTTCCAAATATGGTAGAGAGATTAGTAAATCAAGAATAAAATAAAATAAATCTTGCTGGAAAGGGAACTGTCTCTGTCAGTATTCAACAGTTTCTCAGTCCTGTCTCTGACATCTCTTGGGACCACCAAATTCAGATCAGCCCTTGAAAACCCAGTCTCTATCCCAGGGATCTGGGCTTCAGATACATCAGGATCCGTCATGCTGCAGTTCCAAAATCTCAATGCTATTCCTACTTGCAGAGAGACCACCAGGGATACACTCATGCAAAGGAGCAATTCCGAGATGCATCAGCAAGACAAGGGCCACCAGCACTCTTAGCAGGAAGACCCCAGACTCCTCCAAACCTGCAGGAACCCCCACACTGGACCTGCAGGTCCCAGCTGAAGTCCCCAGACAGAGGGTCTTGTGGTAAACCTGCTAGTACTGTGTCCCAAAACGGGTGCAGCCACGTGCAACCAAACCTGGAGTCTTCCCCGAAGCAGCCCTTTAGGCTGTGGTAGCAGCGGTAGTGGCAGTGGTTGTTGGCAGTAGGCAGCGGGTCAACAGCAGCTGCAACTTCAGCTGTGGGGGCAGCGTCACCAGGCGACCTCCAGGGGTCAGCAGCAGTGTCGGCTTCAGTTGCATTCAGGGCAGCGTTTTTTCCTGCGACAGCAACATCCAGAAAGAAGACCTCAGGCTGGTAGCAGTGGAATCAGAGGCAGCAGCAATGGCTGTAGGGGTGCGGGAGGTGGTTGATTTATAGGACACTTTCGTTTCAGCTTCAGCGACCACTGAGATAGCGAGGTAGTATCAGAATTCGCATCTGAGATGACCGCAGTGGTGCCCAGAGAGGAGACCTCCCTGAACTACATAGTTATTGATGTTCCCTCATCTCTGTTGTGGACTAGACAGGATCTAGGGTGCATAGAGAACCCTAGTCTCAGGCCTCCTGTCCTGGTACCCTTAGGCGCTAGAATTTCTGCCCTTGGGATACCTACTTTCCTCATACTCATTAAGCAGAACGCACGTGGAGGAGGTGCAAAGTGTCTAGGGTTGGAACAGAGACTGGCTCTCGGGAGAAGATCACATTGAAGTCAGTGGATTCCGTAGTTCCCTTCAGTGACAACTCAGGAACTGGAGGCATGGAAGCAGGACTTTGGAGGGACGGGAAGACCAGGAGGCTTCAGCGCAAGGTCTGGGTGGTGCACTCACCCTCAGAGATGTCCCCCAGCTGCTCAGGCCTCAGTTTTACATCCGGAGGACTGCGGTCAAGACAGCAGACAGAAGCTCATCTGGGGTAGTATCCTGCAGCGGGACTTGCACCTGTGGTGAGCTTGGCTTATGATACCCACAGCAGAAAGAGAAAGTGACTACAGCTTGCGTGCTGCCTCTGGCCCTGAACCACGGAGCAGGTGATGGACCCGGCCCCCATCTGGTCTCACCGCAGGCTCAAACTCTCAGGGGCCTCACCTGCGGCCCTGCAGGGCAGTGCACCCTCCACGCAACAGCACCACATCTGCGGCCGAGGCTTGCAGAAAGCTACCAAAGCAAGGCACGGTCTGCAGCACGGGACCTGACTCAGGCAGGCTGGTAAGGTGGCCCCGAAGAACCTGCAGCTTCAACATCAAGCCGCTGAGACCAACTGAGCAGTCTGGGATCTGTGCGCAGATGCGAATCCCACGCAGAAGCGGAACCTCGATTCAAACATAGAAGCTAGAAGCCTGAACACTGCCCTCCAAAGGTTCCGCCTACCCCGTCTCAGCCAACCAGAAGGAGCATAACTTGAGGACACGCCCAGTAAGGCCACTGGGTCCCCAGGGCCCAAACACTCGGGGGTGGGGGGTGGGGTGGGGGTGGGGGTAGATGCTGTTCTTTCCACTCAAAGTCCTGCCTACCATGGGCTACCAGGCCAATAAAGAGGCAGTTCTTTCTGGAGTCCCGCCCACAAATTCAGTTTGGAAATCATTCTACCTATCCAAATTTGGAAGCCCAAACCCAGGCTGGTCCCCAAAGTCTTGTACATAATCTGGGCCTCAACCAAAAGACCCTTCCTCCAAAGTCCTGCATCCTGTCTGCTGCCAGACAGAAAGACTTTGCCTTTTTTTGGTAGGAGTTCGGGACTCTTTAATTCCTGTTCCCCCATCCTAATCTGTTCTGCTCTGCCCTATGTCCTGTCACCCAATCTGGAGAATCTACATACTTTTCATACTCCCAGCCCAACTCCGAAGGAGTCAGGTTCTCCCAGAAAGTCTTTCTGGAAGCCAAGCAATTTAATTCCCAGTAGTCGTGGAGAGCAGATTTACAAAGCTGAGGAAATGTAGCAAGCTCTTTAACTGGACAGAGAACATGCCACGCTTCTTAGAACAATTTTACATCTGTTTGCGATGATTCAATTGGTTGTCACTTTCCCCATTAGGAGAGGGCCAAATGCTGTTCCCCTGCCATAGGCAGACATGTGGGCCACAGCGACAGGAAAGTGTGGTGTGCAGAGCATGCATGTTGGAAACAGATGGGCTGTGGGTCCTTGGGCAAGCCACTTAACCTTTCTGAACTTTGGTTTCCCCACCAAATAATAGGGCTACTACTAGTCCTGTCATTATGATGCTCAGAGACTCTCATGAAATGTGTGTGGGTGAAGGCTAACCCAGGGCTAGGCCCTCAGAGACCTCATCTTTCGTCTCCCAAGAAGGGCACTTAGTCTAATTGTGACATCTAGGGATGGGTGTGGAGCCCAGGACCAAAGTTGCCTGGACAATGAACTCCTGGCTTCTTCACAGCTTCTGTGGTGCACTATCACCTGTGCTCTGCTGCCAGGGAAAGTGCAGAGATTTTTTTTTTTTGGTTGATTCCTTTTTTCAGGGAGGGATTGAATTCTTTTTTTCCCCCCACCCATTTTTTTTCCTAATATCTTTATTTATTTTTATGTGGTGCTGAGGATCGAACCTGGTGCCCCACACATGCTAGGTGAGCGCTCTATCTCTGAGCCACAACCCCAGCTCCTCACACCCATTTTTTATTGGTACATTATAGTTGTACAATGATGGGATTCATTGTTACATATTCATGCATGCACATGATACAACAATATAATTTGGCCAATATCATTTCCCTGTACTTCCCCCTGCCCTCCCCACTTTCTACATCTTGGTCCCTTTCCTCTACTGATCTCCCTTTTGATTTTCATGAGATCCGCCCCACCTTTCTTTTTCTTTCCTCTCTGGCTTCCACATAAGAGAGGAAATGTAAGACCCTTCTCCTTTGGAGTTCAACTTATTTTTCTTAACATGATGGTCTCTAGTTCTATCCATTTTCCTGCAAATAACATAATTTTATTTTTCTTTATGGCTGAAGAAAACTCCATTGTGTATATATACACCACATTTTCTTTATCCATTCATCCATTGATGGATGCTTGTTGAGAGCCACAGCCAAAGGGGCCCCAGCAAACTTCCAGCTGCCAGCAAACTTCCAGCTGCTGGCTGATGATTGGCTCACAGCGGCCCCAGCAACATCTAGCTGATTGGCTCCTCGGCCCCAGCAACATCTAGCTGATTGGCTCCTCTGCGGTGATGCTCATTGGACTGTTTCCCTGCCCTTTCAGACCACGGAGCTGCTCATTGGGGGACTTTTTTGGCTCTGCCCACGTGACCCAGCCAATCGGCCTCAAGAGCAGGAGGATTGTGGGAGGTGGAGAGAAGCTTGTGTGGGAGAGAGAGGCTTGTGGAAAGCCGGTGGTGGCAGTTGAGGCTCTGAGGGTTTTTCCTGAGAGACTATTTTGTTTGTCGTGTGTGGTTCTAAAAATAAAGTTAGTTTCTTTTGACAAGTGGCTCCTGATTGTGCCCAGCCAGACTGCGGCATTTGGTGGCTCGCACGGGGAGCGACTGAGGGTAAGTGAACTGCTCGCCCCTGAGGGCAGGGCGAGAGGATGGGTAGCCATTTTAAGATTCTTCTTTTGTTATTTTGTTTCACTTTTGTTTTAAGTTGCCTGTCCCTGGAGATGTGTAAGATGGAAGAAAAACCGCTCACATCTGAGGAACAGATAGGGAGAAAGGACGGATGGACATTTCAGGAGGCTATTATAATGATTTTGTGTTGTTCCAATTTTGTTTCACTCAGTTTCAGTTTTGTTAGGCGTTATCTTGTTGGGTTGTATTATAGTAGAAATACGGGATCAGAAATTAGTAAAAAACAAACTGAAAGAGTGTTAAGTAAATTGTTAGAGGAAGGAGGCATCTCAGTAAAATCAAGAACAATCAGGGCATACGTTGATACAATACAAAAATGTAGCCCATGGCTTTTTAAGGAGGAGTTGTTAAATATATCACAATGGAACCATCATGGTGAAGATTTAAAAAGAATAGAAAAGAAAAGCCCAGGGACTCTGCCAGTTGGCACATTGCGATTGTGGACATTCGTATCTTGTTTGCTTAGTCCAAAGCCTTCAGTTCAGACAGTGGTAGAGGAAGGAGAAGACATAATGATTCAAGTAAAAGAGAAGGCCTCTCAAGCTAGTCAGACAGAGAAAGAAAGTGTAAAACAGAAAAAGCCATCAGGGGGAAAGTTACAACAGGAGACTGCTACTAACACCTTTCTATCACCAGAGGGTGTAAGTGTCCAACCAACAGCACCACCTCTACAGGAGACTGCTACTAACACCTTTCTATCACCAGAGGGCGTAAGTGTCCAACTAACAGCGCCACCTCCATATGCTGGGAGGCCCCCAACCCCCGCAGTTGATAGTTGGGATCCTGAGACAAGGTCTCAAATATTAACATGCCCTGTATTTGAGGCAGGAGGGCAGCGATTTTACCAAGTTTTAAATTTCAAAACAGTGAAGCAGCTAAAAGAGGCTGTAACAACCTATGGTCCTCAAGCACCCTTCACTGTAAGCTTGGTCGAATCCATTAACAACTTGAACATGACGCCAGCAGATTGGGCTAATATGTGTAAAGCTGTGCTAAATGGAGGACAATACCTGTTATGGAAGGTTGCCAATGAGGAATTTTGCAAGGAGACGGCTAGGCGAAATGCAGCAGCTGGTTATCCTCAGAGAAATCTAGATATGTTGTTAGGAAAGGGACCTTATGAGGATCAGCAGCAACAAATTGCATATGATCCTGCTGCAGATGCAATTAAGGCATGGAAGACTTTACAAGGACATGGAGGTTTACAAGGTCAATTATCTAAGGTAATACAAGGAGCTAATGAACCTTATGCTGAATTTGTAGATAGGCTTATTCAAACAGCTACCAGAGTTTTTGGGAATACAGAACAAGCAATGCCATTACTAAAACACCTGGCTTATGAGCAAGCGAATCGTTGGTGCAGAGATATCATTAGACCATGGAAACATGAAGATTTAAACACATATATTAAATTATGTAGAGACATTAATGAACAAGAGCAAGTCGTGGCAGCTGCAGTAAAACAGGCTTTAGATGCCAGAGACATTAATGAACAAGGGCAAATTGTGGCAGCTGCAGTAAAACAGGCTTTAGATGCCAGGCCAAGAACATGCTACAATTGTGAACAAACAGGACATTTTAAAAGGAATTGCCCCATTGGAGGAGGGTTTAACAAAACTAGGTATCAAAGGAGTAGAATACCAGGTATTTGCCCACGATGCCGTAGAGGGAGACATTGGGCTAATGAATGCCGTTCTCAAACCACCATAGAGGGTACTCCATTATCAAAAAACGAACAAGGACCAGGTGTTTATCCACGATATCGTGGAGAAAGGCATTGGGCTCCATTGCCAAAAAATGGACAGGGGGGCCCAATGCTCCGGGGCCCCAAACCACAAATATACGGAGCACTGGAGGAACCCAGCAACCCCATCAGGGTAGTGCCCAGGACACATTGTCCATCAGATCCCTCATCAGACAAACCAGAGGGAGCGCAGGGTTGGACATCTGCGCCTCCGCCAGAGCAGTACTAACTCCAGAGATGGGAGTTCAAATCATTCCCACAGGGGTGAAAGGACCTCTTCCCAAAGGAACAGTAGGCTTATTATTGGGACGCAGCTCTTCTACTCTAAAAGGACTTATGATAAGTCCTGGGGTAATTGATCCCGATTATGAAGGTGAAATAAAAATTATAGCCAGTTCTCCAAAGGGTATATCAGTAATTTCACCAGGAGATAGAATAGCACAGTTACTAATAATACCCAGCCTACATGATAAATTTTCCAGTCGTACTGTAGAAAGAGGTTCCAAGGGATTAGGCTCCACAGGTGTAGATTGGGCTATGCTTTCTTTAAATTTAGATTCTCGCCCCATGCTAAAACTAAATATTCAAGGACATGAATTTAATGGGCTACTGGATACAGGTGCAGACCTTAGCATCATCTCTCGTGAAGAATGGCCAAAACATTGGCCATTACAACAAGCCACTCAAACGCTTCGAGGCCTAGGAGTGGCGACTAATCCCCATAGAAGTGCAATGGTATTAGATTGGAAGGATCCTGAAGGATGTGAAGGAACCATACAGCCATATGTATTGGATCATCTTCCCGTAAATTTATGGGGACGAGATGTCCTAGATCAATTAGGTTTGACATTAACAAATAACATCAACCAAAATGCACCCACTATTATGACTAGACAAGGTTTTAGGAAAGGAAAAA